GAATAATGTGTGGATCAAGGACTGTAACACTAACTTAAGGTGTTTGAGGCTTCTCTGTAATTCAGAGATGTGTTTATGCAATTCAGGGCCACAAACACATACTGAGCCAGAAGCTATGTAGACAATAGGAAAATAAGGATCAATAATTCAGTCCTTGTCATTGGCCACATAAGGGGAGACCTATATATAAATAAAAAATATATAGTATAAGGTATTGAATAATGTGACAGAGATAAGCTCAAGTACAATAAATTTTATGTCAGATGCACCTTGTCCTTTGGGAGGAGGAGGTGAGCAAGGAAGGCTTTTCTCAAGTCCATGAAGTCTCTTTAAGTTGAGTCATAAAGGATGAGTAAGAATTCAATTGAAAAAGGAGGGATGGTTAGCAGGGAAGGTGTTCCAAGGTTGAGGGACCAGCAAAAGTGTGGGCTGAGAAGCAGCAGGGTATAGTGTTCCAAAGAACTTGAAGGGATGATAAGATTGGAGGTGGCCAGATTTAATAGGTGTAGGGGGAGAAAATAAATCCAAGAATTGTAGAGGGGTGCAGTTAAGCGTCTGACTCCTCATTTTGGCTTAGGTCATAATCTCAGGGTCCTGAATTCATGCCCCATGTTGAGCTCCACTCTGGGTCTCCCTCTCTCTTCCTCTCTCTCTGTCCTTACCTCTCCCCACTTTCTTTCATTCTCTCAAATAAATAAATAAAATCTTAAAAAAAAAAAAAGAAATGTCAAGTAGATTAAAAATGAGCAAAACCTGATAGGGGTGATGTAATGGATGAAATTATGCTAACTGCTAGTCCTCTGGCTCTGGCAAAGTCAGGGCCACCAGTAGCCCAAGAGGTGTCTTTTTAAAAAAAAAAAAATTTTATTCATTTTTTAAAATTTCTTTTCAGTGTTCCAAGAAGTGTCTTTGTTTGAATCAGAAGAAGATATATTTTTTGATACCTGTTCAAGGGGAGTGGTGTGTGTGCAGAGCCCAGAGTGGATTTCGGCCTGCACTTGCCCACTGGCTTGGTGCTCCTGGGCAGTGTCTTGTCTGAAGAACGGCAAGGGGCAGATGGAGGCAAACAGGTGGACCAGTCATGTCGTTAGTGCAAACAGGAAAAGAGAGTGTAGCTGGGAGGCAGTGGGAGGGACAGTGATGAATTCAGTCGTGAGTGTGTTCGGTTTGTAGCATCCAGGGTCATTGTGCCAGAGGACATATCAGGGAAGAAGTTTGGGTGAATGATTCTAAAACACTGGGGACTACAGATGATTTAGGTCTGCTAAACTTTTTAAAGTTTAGTCGTAGCTAAAATTATTCAAACCGAATTATTGCTTCAGTGGTAATCTGATAATGCTAAGGGCTAAGTTCTCTAAAATGGTGACCCTGCTTATCAAAAACTCATTCCAGATAACTTTTCAAAGAATGTCTACTAATGTTTATTCATTTTTTAAATTTTTATTTTTTATTGAGCTACATTTGATGTATAATATTATGTTAGTTTCAGGAACATAACATAGAGATTTGACAATTAGGTTCATTATGAAGTGGTCACCACAATAAATGTAGTTATCATCTGTCACCATACAACATTATTATAATATTACTGACCATATTTCACATGCTGCACTTTCATCTCCATGACGTATTTGTTTTATACCTGGAAGTTTGTATCTCTTAATTACCTTCACTTGTTTCACTCATCCTTCTATCTCCCTCCCCTCTGGCAACCACCAGTTTTGTGTCTGTATCTGTGAATTTATTTGTTTGTTCATTTGTTTTATTTTTTTATATTTTACATATAAGTGAATCAAATATTGTCTTCTATCTTATTTCACTTAGCCTAATACCCTCTAGGGCCATCCGTGTTGTCATGAATGCCAAGAATTAATTTCTTTATATGGCCAAGTAATGTTCCATTGTCTATATTTATAATATATAGATATATATCACATTTTCTTTACCCATTCATATGTTGATGGACACCTTGGTTGCTTCCATTTCTTCGATTTTGTGAATAATGCTGGGTGCATGTAACCTTTTGAATTAGTGTGGTGTGGTTTTTTTGCGGGGGGGAGAGTGAATACCTAGAAGTGGAGTTATTGGGTTGTATGGTATCTCTATTTTTATTTATTTATTTTTTTTGAGGAGCCTTCATACTGTTTTCCATAGGGGCTGCACCAGTTTGGATTCCCACCAACAGTCCAAGAGGGATCCCTTTTCTCTATATCCTCACCAACACTTGTTATTTATTGACTTTTTTTAGTAAGCTCCACACCCATCATGGAGCCCTACATGAGACTTGAACTCATGACGCCAAGATCAAGACCTGAGCTAAGATTGAGAGTTGATGCTTAACTGACTGAGTCACCCAGGCATCCCTTTATTGATTTTTTGATACTAGCTGTTGTGACAGGTGTGAGGTGATATCTCATTGTGGTTTTGATTTGCATTTCTCTGATGACTAGTGATGTTGAGAATCTTTTCATGTGTCTCCTTTTCAAAGTCTCCTTTGGGAAACTGCCTCTTCATGACTTCTCTCCATTTTTGATTGGATTATTTGCTTTTTTGGTGTTATATGGATTAATCCATCCTTCCTTCCTTCCTTCCTTCCTTCCTTCCTTCCTTCCTTCCTTCCTTCTTTCTTTCCTTCTTTTCTTCTTTCCTTCCATTCACATTTATTTATTATAGAGAGGGCAGAGGGAGAAAGAGAGACTTCTCCAGCAGACTCTTGCTGAGCGCGGAGCCTGACGTGGGGTTTGTTCCCATGACCCTAAGATTACAACCGGAACCAAAACCAAGAGTCTGACATTCAAATGACTGAGACACTCAGGTGCCTTGAATTCTTTATATATTTTAGATACTAACCCATTTTCAGATATAGCATTTGAAAATGTCTTCTCCAGCTCAGTAGACCGCCATTTTGTTTTATTGAAGATTTCCTTTGCTGTGCAAAATCTTTTTAGTTTGATGTAGTCCTATTTGTTTATTTTTGCTTTTGTTTCCCTTGCATGAGGAGACAGATTCACAAAAATAATACTAAGGCTGATGTCTAAGAGATAACTGCCTATACTTTCTTTTAGGAATTTTATAGTTTCAGGTCTTACATTTAGGACTTTAATCTATTTTGAGTTGATTTATTGTGTATAATGCATGAAAGTGGTCCGTTTTCATTCTTTATTCTTTTGCATATAGCTGTTCCAATTTTCTCAATACAATTTTTGAAGAGATTGTTCTTTTACCATTGTATTATATTCTTGTCTCCTTTGTCATACATTAACTGACCATGTATATTTTGGCTCATTTCTGGGTTCTCTATTCTCTTCTGTTGATCTGTGTATCTGTTTTTGTTCAGTAACATATTGTTTTGGTTACTATAACTTTATAATATACTTTCAAATCTGAGATTGTGATACCTCCAGCTTTGTCCTTCTTTTTCAAGATTGCTTTAGTTATTCAGGGTCTTTTGTGATTTCAAATAAATTTTAGGATTATTTGTCCTAATTGTGTGGAAAAATACCATTGGTGTTTTGATAAGGATTGCAGAGAATTTGTAGATTACTTTGGGCAGAATGGACATTTTAACAATATTAATTTTTCCAATCCATGAGCTTGTATTTGTTTTATCTTTAGTTTTTTTCATCAGTATCTTATATTTTTTAGGGCACAGGTCTCTCAGTTCCTTGGTTAGATATTTTCCAAGGTATTTTATTATTTTTGATGCACTTGTAAATGGGATTTTTTTGTAACTTCTTTCTTTGACTTTTTTTATGGTGTATAGAAATATTGTATCCCGTAACTTTACTGAATCAATTATTAATTCTAACAGTTTTTTTGAGTCTTTAGGGTTTTCTATATAGTTGTCCCTTGAACAAGGTGGGGGCACCAATTCCAGTGTAGTTGGAAATTTGTATATAAACTTTAAAACTCCCAAAACCTTAACTACTAAGATCCTACTGGTGAGCAGAAGACTTACTGATAACATAAACAGTCAAGTAATCCATGTTGTGTACATTATATGAACTATATGTTGTATTTATACAATAAAATAAACTAGAGAAAAGAAAGTGCTATTAGGAAAATTCCATAAAGAGGAGAAAATACATTTACAATATTTTACTGTATTTATGTAAGTGAACCTGTGTAGTTCAAACTTGTGTTATTTGAGGGCCAGCTGTATATAGTATCATGTCATCTGCAAACAGTGGAAGTTTTACTTCTTCCTCATCAATTTGGATGCCTTCTATTTCTTTTTCTTGTCTGATTGCTGTGGCTAGGACTTAAAAATATGTTGAATAAAAGTGGTAAAAGTGGACATCCTTGTCTTGTTCCTGATCTTAGAGGAAAAGCTTTTAGCTTTTCACTGTTGAGTATGATGTAAGCTGTGGTTTTGTCATATATGACCTTTATTATGTTGAGGTATATTCTCTCTATACCCATTTTTCTGAGAGTTTTTTAATCATGAATGGATATTGAATTTTGTCAGACATTTTTCCTGCATCTTTTGAGATGATCACATGATTTTTATTCTTTGTTTTATTAATATGGTGTGTCATGATTGACTTGCAGATATTGAACCATTCTTGCATCCCTGGAATACATCCCACTTAATCAGGGTGAATGATCCTTTTAATGTATTGTTGGATTCAGTTTGTTAATATTATTTTGAAGATTTTGCATCTGTATTTATCAAGGATAACAGCCTGTAATTTTCTTTTTTGTGGTACCTTTGTCTAGTTTGGTTTAAGGGTAATACTGGCCTCATATCATGAATTTGGAAGAATTCCTTCCCTCTTATTTTTTTGGGGGGGATAGTTTGAGAGAGATAGGTATTAACTCCTCTTTACATGTGTAGTAGAATTTACCTGTGAATTCATCTGGTCCTAGACTCTTGTTTGTTGGAAGGTTTTTGATTACTGATTTAATTTTGTAACTAGTCCACTACTGTTCATTAGCATACTGAAGAATGGTCATGATAAATCGGATTCATAAATTTTTTTTTATTTTCTCTGTTCCAGATTTCTGTGCTATGCCTTGTATGACAAAAGTCCTCTCACCAAGAATACTTTTGCCTTGACACTTGTGGACAGTCAGACCATGTGAGTATGGAATCTGAATTAGGTAGATTGCAGTGAACCTGAATTAGTTAAATTAACTAAGCAAAAAAGAAAACAAAAATAAAAACAACCGCCTCCCCAAAACTGCACAAAAACGCCAAAAATATTGTGCTAGGTAGACCAAAGAAATAGTATCTATTTTCTTTATTATACAAATTCTAGATGAAGTAGAAAACTCATCTCTTTCCCCCATTAACTTATTATTTTAGTGGGATCTATAAGAGCAACAATGAAATTTTTATGTCAGCTCATTTTTCAGTGTATTTATGGCAACCAGTTAGAAGTTTAATGAAAGCATTATTTGGGTTTGTTTTTGTTATTCTAAAGGAGCAAAACTCCTAAACTTTTTTATGTGGCACTATTTTGCAGAAAAATACTGCTAAGGAGTGCTAAAGTGGCAATGAAACAGCCCAACAGAAAGAGGAAGCTTAGTATGGATTCCAAAGAGCATTTGAATCAGGATGGATGCTTGGTAAGATGTCAAGTTCCTGGGCCCTTAGTTTGTGCTCACTGTGGAAATTTACAACGTAATTGTATAGTTTGTGTAACCACAGAGGAGGCTGTTTTTTCAATAAGTAGGAGCTGTCTGCTTCTGGGTGAGTTTTATATACAGAGGCATAGAATATAAATGTCATTAAAGCCTGACAACATTTTAAAGGGTAATAATTCATTTTAAAGTGAAAAGAGAACTTTTTTTTTTAAATTTTAAAAACATTTTAATGCATATCCTTTGAACACATTTACATGTGCATGTATTTTAAATATAACATATTGCAGAAAAGAAAATATATTTTACTATGTATATCTCATATGATATGGTAATTCATACAGTTATATCTTATGATATTCTGTGACTGGCCTGTGCTGTCCAAGATTTTATTCTGGTATTTACAAACACAGTACATTGCTATGATAAGATAATTACTTCTGTGAAAAATACTTACAGGATTTATCTTTCACAATAAATGCTTTGATACTTAATATTTTATCAAATAAAATTTGTTAAATAATCTTTTCTCTTAATTCCCCACCAAATATAGCACAAATAATTTATGTCTTATTAGAAAGGGATATTTCTCCAATTGAAGGTAATTATTTGATGAATAATCTAAAAAAATATAAAAGATAAAAAGAAAAACTACCTCCCCCCAGTCAGTTATCTAATAGTCATTTAAGGAGGAGCTTTAATTTGTTGTGGAGACGGACTAAAACATTGAGTAGTTATTACTAGATGATTGGATGCAGGTGATTTTCTTTTTTTTTTTTTTTTAAGATTTTATTTATTTATTTGCCAGAGAGAGATCACAAGTAGGCAGAGAGGCAGGCAGAGAGAGAGGGGGAAGCAGGCTCCCCACCAAGCAGAGAGCCCGACGTAGGGCTCAATCCCAGGACCCCGAGATCACGACACAAGCTAAAGGCAGAGGCCCAATCCACCAAGCCATCCAGGCACCCCTATATTATCTTTTCTATTCATATACTTTACCATTAACATGTGTTACTTTTTGAATTAGAGATAAAACTATACATATGTATGTGTAGGAAAATACCAGGAAGAAAATCCAAATATTAGTCATGGTACATTTTAGTGGGAATTTTAGAGACCTTCTTCTCCTCCCTTTCTCCCTCCCTCCCTTCCATCCTTCTTTCCTTTTTAAAGATTCACTTATTTGAGAGTTGAGAACGCACACGCACATGTGAGTGAAGTAGGGGGAGAGAGAGGGGTAGAGAATCCTTATGTAGACTCCATGCTCACTGTGGAGCCTGATGCAGGGCTCAATCCCACAACCCTGAGATAATGACCTGAGCTGAAATCAAGAGTCGGACATTTGACTGACTGAGCCACCCAGGCGTCCCAAAGGTAATTTTCTTTGTAACAATGGAGGTAATTGATCATTATCAAGTGACGGACAGAGACTGTGGACTGGAGAGTGTTGTGTTTGTTAGGGTTCTCCAGAGAAAGAACCAATGGTAGTAGTTAACTGTCCTGTCACATCCCTGTTCACAGTCTTTGTCCCTACTTGATAATGATGAATTAGATGTATATGTGTACATATGTATATAGAAAGATTTACTCTAAGGAATTGATTCATACAATAGTGAGAACTGACAGGTCTGAAATCTACAGGGGAGGTTGGCAGGCTGGAGACCCAGAATAAGAGTTAATGTTGCAACCTTGAGTCCAGAGGCATTCTGGAGGCAAAATTCCCTCTTCTTTAGAGAGGTCAGACTTTTTTTCTCTTAAGGCCTTCAGGTGATTAGATGAGGCCCCTCCACATGATGGAAGATAATGTGCTTTACTCAGAGTCTAATATTTGAGTATAAATCTCATCTAAAAATTACCTCACAGTGACATCTTGACAGCTAGAGGGTATAATACGCATCTTGCTTCTAGTTACTTATGCTCTCTCCCTGTGGCAACTTTTTGTATTCCTACACATTTCAAGGTGGCAGAAGTGACCAGGATATGTCCATAGTGATGGTTTTGGTGATAGTGGGGCATTAGAACATTCTCATTAGTGACCTCTCATAGACTCTTACCATGTATTGGTCTGGGTTTTGGGGTCTTCAAGTGGTTTGTGGTTATGCATTTAAATATTGCAACTGGCGAAGTGACAAAGTGTCATACACTCTTTGGTTTGCTTTCAGGTTAGGTATGGTTTAATGAACTCCCAGCATTAAAGAAGACATGCCAAGTGATGATCTTGTCCACAGTTGATTTTTGGATGTTAACTCTATGTCTGTGTCTAGTCACAGAACTGTTTCCTTCAGATCAGCCTCACTGGGAGGTGAGATGGTTAATGTGGGGCCGAGATCCAGTCCCCCCTGAGGTCCAGATTGGCTTCATCTCAGTTCTGTGAGAGTCAGTCATTCTCCGTGTACCCCAGAGAGCTCACTTCAAAGGGGTTCCTTGGACCAGACTTAGAAAGACCTGAGCCTGTCTCAGCTTATGTGACGATGATGTTTTTCTCAGCATTTTTGGTTTGTTATGTCATGCCTTCTGAGGAGACAAGGTACTAAATGTGTTCACAGTTGTTCTTGGATAGTGGTTCTTCAGCTGTGGTCTCTAGAACAACAGCATGGGCATCACCCCAGAGGTTTGTTAGAAATGCAATTTCTTGGGCTTTACTCCAGACCTCTTGGATCAGATATATTGGGAGTGGGGCTCAGCAGTTTGTATTTTATAAGGCCTCCCGGTGATAGTGGTACGCTCTCATGTTTGAGAACCACTGTCTGAGAGACAGTTAGGCCTATCTTCCCTACTAATTGTCCTAGAGTCATTCAGTATTGGCTGCTTCATAATTCTTAAATTTTTGTGTTTAATATTGGAGACTACCTCTCCTGTCTAAACACATTTGCTATTTTTTCTCAGTATCATTTCCTGTCAAGCTGCTAAAATTATTACCGTCCATTCTCAGCACTTCCGTTATCTTGCTCTACAACATGGTATTCAGACTTCTGTCTTTTCTGTATCATCACAAATCCTAGTTTTCTCTTGAAGCTGAACTTGGTTTCTAACTTGATGCCAGTAACTTTACCATTATTTCCTTTCCATGTTGGGATTTCCCCATTTTTGAACCCCAGAAGTGCTCAACACTTATATAGGTGCTGTTTGAGTGTGGTGCCTTATGTGGCTGGATTTCCAAAAATATCTGTTGAATGATGTTCCTGGTGTTTAATGGCATCTCCAGGCAAGTGGGCTTCTTTGATCGTACGAAGATAATGATATTTCAAAGGGCCATATTACTGATTTGAGTTTTGAGGTGCTTGGAACATACAATTATTACAATTATTTTTAAGAATGTTCACATAGGATAATAAAAAAGATGTGCATTTAGGATGAATTCCACATTATACTGTGAGCTAGGGGCTTATTGCCAGTTAAAGCATCCACTTTAATTAGTTAAACTTAATAGTTTAATATAATAAACTGATTTACATCTGTGGCTGCATTCACAGTGGAGAGAAAGGGGTTCAATCATGCTTGAATTTGATTATGAAAATCATGTTTGAAATTTGCTTGAATTACCACTAACATACTTTACATTCTTTGTAACCCATATAATTTTACAAGTGACATTTCCTGTCAACTAAGCAAAATAGCATTGCTAGATTAAGCACATTAAACATAAAACTAATGAACAGTTGGGTACTTTCTAAACATCTGCATTTGGGGCACCTGGGTGGCTCAGTCATTAAGTGTCTGCCTTCGGCTCAGGTCCCCTGGGGTCTGGGATGGAGCCCTGAATCGGGCTCCCTGCTCGGCACCTGCTTCTCCTTCTCCCACTACCCTGCTTGTGTTCCCTCTCTTGCTGTGTCTCTCTCTGTCAAATAAATAAATAAAATCTCTAAAAAAATTTAAAAAATAAACATCTGCTTTTGAGGTAGTAATTTCATATCTTCAATATCTAGTAATTTATAGATGTTGATAATAGTATCTGCCAATGAATGTCTTCTTATACTAAAATTTTCTATGTATTTCTTCACAGAAATTAAAAAAACATTCCTTTATATTTTTCAGTATGCAAGCACATGGTTTAAAAAAATAGTACAAATAGTATGAAAATAAGTAAATTCTCTACTGTACCCACTCACACACATGTTAAACCCCCCAATTTTTTTTTTAAGATAAGGAGAAAAAGAGCAAGGGAGGGGCAGAAGGAGGAGGAGAGAGAGAATCTTAAGCAGCCTCCATGCCTAGTGCAGAGCCTTACTGAGGGCTCAGTTTCATGACCCTGAGGTCATGAACTGAGCCAAAATCAAGAGTTGGATTAAGTTGATTAAGCCCCCTCAGAACCCCTCACAAATCTTTATTTAAAGGTGTGACCCTGTTTGTATTTTCTCATCTATCTGTATAGGAATCAAAAGCAAAAATAGGAAGCTAAAAAACCCAAACCCCTTATGCAAAAACACATACATACATTCATAATACCTACTGCATGCATACATGCATCCCAAATGGGCTCATATTCTACTTCCTGGTCCGTATCCTTTTTTTTTTCTTTTGCACTTAAGCATGTATGTCTTGGAATGCATGCAGAACATGTCACTGTTTTCAGTGGTGCTTAACATTCCACTCTGTGAATGTACCATAATTCATTAAACAGTACCCTTCCCTAAACATTTAGGGGATTTTTAGTTTTTGCTGTTGTCTGCTGTATTAAAACCAAATGTTCTTATTCACATGTTTTCATAGGCTTTTATACTTGATTCATGGATAAAATCTTATCAGTAGACTTGTTATACTACCTGCATTCAACATCTTGATAAGGCTTTTATATCATCTTCCGAGGTCACCCCAGGGTATACCCTCTCTTACGCCATCTGCACGAGTGCTTTTTTTGCTTAGGTTTTATTATTGCATGTCTGATGCCTTTGTTTACTGAGATCTGTCATGTGGATGAGTTTCATTTATGGGTGGCCCATGGTGCTGCCGCAGGTTTGAAGAGGGGCATTGCCCCGGGTCTGGTAGAT